AGCGGGCGTCTGCCTGCCTGCAGGCTCCAGCGTCAGGGGCTCAGCCTGAACCCACCGGTACCGCAGTGAGAAGAACCCTCCTGGGATCGAGGCGAGGTCCACGCCTGCTGCAATCACGACCTGAGCGGCCATTTACTTTCCGTCGAGAACCCCTAATGCATCTGACAACTTTTCTTCGCCTCTGTGTTTTTCAGAGAGTGAAGTTTCATCATGTTGAGGCTTTTTTCTTGCCAGAGGCTGATGGGTGAATGAGAGGCTCAACAAAAAGGAAAGGCAAACTGGGACCAAAGTGAGAATCCCTCAGAACACACCTAAGACGCCGTCAGAGCGGACGAAGACCAGGACTTCTGAACAGATGGCGCTGGCGGCTCCTGCTCCCGGCACCTGCAGGGACCATCTGAAATGTGATGCTCGGGCAGCGCTTCTAACACTTCCACGCGCAGCCTCATCACCTGGGGACTTTGTCGGGGCAGAGTCTGAGTCAGAAGAGGGGATAGAGGGACTGAGATTCTACCTTTTCAACAAGCTGTCATGTGCTGCTGCTGCTGGTGGTTTAGGCCCAGAGGTTACAGACCTGCTATACAACCTGTTGCTTATCTCTTTATTCTGTGAACCACTCAAAATGCAGTGTAATATTAAAAAGAAATTGAGTGAGCAACTGTTTACACTATACAGGGTAAAAAAGACATCTAAGGCAATCCGTTTTTTCTCTAAACAACTCACAAAGTTGTTTACTTTCTGAAAGTTGAACACTGAAACTGCTGACACCACAAGACGGTGTATGAGAAAGCTCAACCTCTTATAAAGCGCAGGAGACTTTCTTTTGTCTTTTCATCCAGTGATGTAGCCCCCAAACAGAGAACTTTGAACCCTGTCATTGACTTACGGTTCTAGCTGATGGCATACTTCTACTTTTTTTCTTTATTCAAAAACAAAAATAGCAAAAATCTTTATCTAGCTAACTGTCAGCCCTATTTCTGCCTTTGGGGGCTGTGAAGCACATGTGAGCCTTCCTCTCTGATAAATAATGAAATCGATAACAACGGAGTTTGAGAGAGATATGTCATTGGCTTAAGGTCCTATATGGAGGGATTGATCCAATATCTGTGCTATCAGAGTTCAACTTTCAGTGTAGGGTCATTTTGAGTAATCTGAACAGGAATTCTGTCACAGTTTGGACTTGAACGGAACACTGAAAAAATTAAGTAGAGTTTGGATGAGTGTACCCTCAATTTTCTATCCGTTTAATAGATGAAGAAACTGTGTCTTAGGAGGACAGTTCCTGGAGGCCACACAGCTAGTAAGGGCCAGGCTGACTCTGGAACTTCTAATGTGGCCACAGCGTCACACCCTAATTTCAAGCCATAAATAGTCGCCATCCTTCCTGCGCTCAAGCCCTCACCTCTCTGCCTGTGACGACTTCCCTCTGGTGTCATTTCTTACCTTCATCCTACGTGTGTTCACACCCGCCACGGTCGCCACTCGCAATTTGCACCCTCATTTCACTTTCTTTTCATACCCCTCGTCCCCTATTTATACCATTCCGCCACAATTACCGGTTTCTCTGACTTTCCCTCTTAAACTCCCTGACGTCAGGACAAAGACTTAACGTGTCTCTGTAACTTCAATTCCCGTCACAGAAAGAGCTCAAGGAAAACGTGTGACATCAAATGACTTAGCATCAGAAATGGGATTTTCAAGAGGAAACAAACTATCCAAACATCTGACCACCCAGGCTGTGGTGGGGAGGGGTTCCCACTGCATCTAGCTCAGCTCGTCCAGGGGCCTTGTCCAACATTAGCCGAGGAAGGGATCGGCCGGCATGCTGGATGTCAGAAACCTTCCCCCCATGGGCACTGAAGTCTACAGAAGGGCCTGGCACATCTATCTGTCAGCTTTGTGTTGCACTTGACATTGTACGTGGCTGGAGAGCCAGGAGAATCGTCTAAGTGTCTCTCTTATTTGCCCGTCCCTGGCCGGGACTTAAATGACAAGTTCCGGTCAGAAGCTCTCATACCTTCTGCAACATTATTTGCCTCAGTTGTCTTCCTAAAGCCTATGAAGGTGCTTTGAAAAGAAATCCATGTTTTTCTCCTTGTGTCTCCCCTTAACCGACTCCAATGTGGCCGCTCACTAATACGCCACCCGAGAGCACTGGGTAAAGAGTAATTGGATGCTGAGGACTGGGGGCCTCATGGCAAGAAAAGCAGAGAAGCTCATTTGCCAGGGAAGCCCTCCAGGATTCCGCCCGGGACATACGAAGGGTGTGCCACGTATCAGTGCCTGGGTTTTCACGGAAGGCACATGCCGTAGACACACGATGGGGAGGAAACACAGGCGGCCAACTGCTCTCAGAGTTGAGGAGGTAGAATGTCCTGAGAAGGTACGTCTGGGAGGGAATCAAAATATTTAAATAGCATCCTACTAAAATATTTTTTAATTGAAAATTTGTCTAGTAGGAGAAGAAATATGTTATCATTCCCCTATATCCACCCTTTCCTTAATAAAAAAAAAAAAAGACCTTTCAATATAGCTGTGTGACATATCGGGGGTGCCAAAAACTGTACATACAAGTGGACACGTTGGTCAATGTTGCTCAAGCAGTAGTTCGCTGTAATCAGGCGTGTCTGGATGCTGATGGGAACCACTTTGAGCACCTTTTGTAACTGCAGCAGTGAAACGAGACTTGTATTCATCTTTTGTTATCGGTATATATTGAGTATCACACTTTCAATACAGTTTTCCTTTCTTAAAATGTGTAGACATCTTTTTGGCCCCCTCTGGATTTATGGCCCATGTACTAACTATTCAGTTTTCCTGATAATATTTCTCATAACTTCACACACTCCGAGGCAAACTATATCGTTTCAGTCACTGAAACAACCGTTGGCATCTCTGCCAGCATTCACAATCCATTTCAAAGAGAACGAGTACCATGTAAAAATCAATGTGGAGGAGGAAATGGGGGTGCCAGGGTCCCGTGTGCTCCCATGGTTTGAGAAGTTACGTAATGCTCAACAGGCAAAGTCACTGTGGCTACCTATTGTCTCTCACAGCAAAAGCCGAAAATACCAGTTACACAAAGATGTGAGGTCATTCAACTCAGCAGGGCACGACCTAATGTCGAAACTGTAAATGACTACTTCCCACTCACAGTTCATGCTGTGCCTAAAGATGCTGATTATTGTTAAGGTCCCATGAAACTTTAAACCGTCCCGTGGCAGCCCCGTGAGGTTGCCGCAACACCCCAACACCTTGGCACAGTGTGGGGAGCCCAGTCATAAGATCCAACATACGAGACAGTAGTCCAAGAAAAAGAAGAGAGAAAGGGGCAGGCAAACGATGTAAAGCAACAGTAGCTCAAATGTCCCCAGTTGGATGAAAGCTGATAAAAGGCCTTGAGTGACTGGGCCGGCCTAACGCCCTAAGCTCAAACAAAACCACCACATTCAGTGCTCAATTCTGGGGAACATGCATTTATTTACTACTTAGAAAGGCGGGCTTCATCTGCTAGGTTCACTTTTCTTCCTGCTGTTTCTGATATCAAACTCAGGGACACAGGATGACCTGCCACTTGGGAGAAAGGACCAGAGAAAGGCCAGTGGACAAGTGACACAGAAAGAGCCAGCTGTTTGGAAGAGAGAAATGCAAAGCAGCATCCCTGAGGGTTTAACACTGCTTGGGCCAAACCAGAGCAGCAGGCAAAGAGTGGGGACGACCCACTGAGAGAAACAAAACAAAACGAAACGTGCGTTGCCTGGGGTGGCCTCAAGTCCACATCCATGGCTTCCCTAATTCCCTCTCTGCTGGGGTCCGTGGAAGGAGTTAGGGGGTGACGAAGTCACAGCAGTGCTGTCTGGGAGCACTGCACAGGACAGGCTGGAAGAGAGGAAATGCCCTCACACCCTAAATAAAAATAAATAAATAAAAAAGTAAAAAACGTCTCCGTTTAGTTCCCTCATTTGAAACTGAAAAGATTTTATTAAGGCAGCTATCATTTCCCACTGCAGGATTTAGTTTAAGATCATTTACATCTTTCAGCAGAAAGCTATCCTGAAGTGGGGGATAACAGTGGGGGACATTCATGAAGATTCCATGAGGAAGTTGTCTCAGCGTCAAGTTCCAAAGTGGTGACATCCTTGTGACCACAAAACTAATTCAACCACGTGACAGACAAGAACTACATTAATAAAACATACTGTAAACGGTCAACACTTGATCAGAAAGAGCCTCAAGGATTTGCTATTGAGCTACATTCACTCAGCAGCATTTTTTACTGAGTGATTTCGACATGCCAGGTACTGGTGACTCATACGAGGGCCTTTACGGGTTTACACAATCACGAGGAGAAACCAATGAAAAAGTGAACAAATAACAAAGGTAAACTCAGTTTGATAAATGCCACTAAGTGATGAAGACAGGGTGTTGGGGACCAGCTCTGGACTAGGAAATGGCTCCTTTTAACAAAGCCATCAGCAACGGTGCCTGTGTGTGCTGAGAATGCAGCGCCGAGAGGGTACCGCCTAGCTAGATGACTGGAGACAAGGCATTCCCAGGAGAAGGGAGGGTGACTGCAGAGCATGCGGAAAGCAGCAGGCTCAGCCTGTTTAAGGACAGAAAGGCTTTAGGCCAGTCTGGCTGGAGTGCAGAAAATGGTGCGGTAAAAAGTCAGAAGGGGGCGGACGGTGCCAGGTGGCGGAAGTGCGTATCGGGAAGTGTGGGTTTTCTTCTAGCTGCAAAAGGAAGCCGTAAATGATTACCTTACGTTGAAGGATTGTAGGCAGGGAGAAAATAAAATCTAATTTAATTTTGAAAGATCATGAAGATTGTAAATAAAAACTAGAAGAGTGGCAGGGATTAGATTAGGAAAGGTGGAAGAGGTGATTAAAGAAAAACATTGATACACTGAGAGAGCTGTCTGACCATTAATCAAGGAAACATTAAAACTGTTGTCATGGCAGCCTAACTTGAACAACAAAAAGCCAATTAATTACGCCTACCTGGTTATTGTTGGGGCTGGCACACCTCTTGTACGCAAGGTGGATTTCCCTCGGACAACTGGTGCATCTGCATTTTCTGAACCGCCATTCAGATATGTTAATTCCTGGAGCTGTGCTTGCCTGATTTCATCATTATAGTCCTGCAGAGTCGATGGAAGATGGCATAATTCACCTCATGTCAAAAACCACAAAAGTATTTAGAACAAGAAGCAAACATTTTTTAATAGACACAGAGTTACGAAAATAGCTGAACTCATAAAACAAGATTTGAGTTTGTTAAAACAAAAACGTATCCACAAATTATTGTAAAAAGAAAAAAAAAAACAGTAATTTTTCCCAAAACTAAAATTTTCTATAATCAGTTATAACTCCTTTCCCCAGCCACAACTTTTCCAAGTGAAACATTTATAATACAATTAAAATACCATATAACAGATATATGGGCATTGTTATTTACAACTCAGTAGTTAACTGAACATCTACAATGTGCCAAGTAACAGGAAAAAGAGAGGAGCTAGCCATGGTCCCTATAACCAAGGAACTCACAATCTAACAAAGCAAGAAGACATACGCACACCACAACAGATCTACTGAAATCAAGACCCATGTGGACACATTGCTTTTGTACATTTCCATTTGGCTACTGCAGCAAAATTCAACATTTCCAAAGCTGAATCTGTCATCTTATCCAAATATCCAACTGAGAAACTTTGGGAGTTACCTTTGGTCCCTCTCCTTTGCTTAATACCCCATCTTTCTGCTTGATTCAAAAAAGATGTGTAATAAATAAATAAAAGTGTGATGTTTTGTAATAAAAGGAAAGTTTAGGTCTAAATGTTCAAAAAGGAAATCATCTAACCCAGCTGTGGGGAGTGGGGGTGGGCTCTGTACAAAAGGGATCATCTAAGGATGAGTGTGAACTAGTTACCAGAGGTGGGGCAGCAAAGTAGTCCAGACAGAGGCAAAAGCATGTTTTAAGACCAAAGAAATGGTGTGTCCAGGAAAAAAGAAAGAAGTGCTACATGGTTGAATTATAAAAACAATTTGGGGTGGGGATGGGGGCTTAAAAGTGGAGGGGAACACCGAGGCCACATCATGAAACACCTCAAGTCATTTTAATATAACTTTGCATGTTTAAAATTAAGGGTACTCAAAAGCATTGCATCGTTTTAAAGAGGGGAGCTGCATACTGAGGCTTGTGTTTTGGAAACATCACTCTAGCATTAGAGCTCCTGGATAACAAAGACTGACGGCAGGAACCGATAAAACACCACACCCCAAAACACATGCTTCTCAAGTGCGCATGGAACGTTCTCCAGGCTAGGCCACATGCTGAGCCATAACACAAGCCTCAAAAGTTTTTAAAGTGCCCAAATCAAACAAAGTACATTCTTTGACCACAATGGAGTGAATTAGAAATCCATTAAAGAAGGAAATCTGGGAAGTTCATAAATATGTAGAGATGAAAGTTTTCAGTTTTGTTGATCTTAACCAGCTTTTGATTCATTGATTTTTCTCCATTTTCTGTTCTCTATTTTCACTTACTTCTGGTCTAATTTTTATTATTTTTTTTCTTCTTGCTTTCTATTTTTTTCCCTGAAGATGAAAGTTTTGGTTACTTATTTGAAATCCTTTATTTCTTAAATATAGGCATTTAAAGCTATACATTTTCCTCTAAGCACAGCCTTACATGCATCCTGGAAATATTGGTGTGTTGTGTTTTCGTTTTAATTCATCTCAGGGCATTTTCTGATATTCCCTGTGGATTTCTATTTTGATCTAATGATTATTTTGACCATGTTCTTTCATTTCTATGTATTTATGAATTTCCCAGATTCTGATTTGCATGCTTTTGTTGAAATAAACCATAATTGTAGAGTATAATAGAATTTCTGAATCCTGTGAGTCCTTTTAGAGCAGCAGTTCTCAACTTTCCTAATGCCGTGACCCCTTAATACAGTTCCTCATGTTGTGGTGACCCCCAACCATAAAATTATTTTCGTTGCTACTCTACAACTGTAATTTTGCTACTGTTACAAATCGTAATGTAAATATCTTTTTGTTTTCTGATGGTCTTAGGCAGCCCCTGTGAAAGGGTCATTTGATCCCCAAAGGGGTCGCGACCCACAGGTTGAGAACCGCTGTTTTAGAGAATTATTAGGCTTGAAGGTGGTGTGGTAACCCCTAGCCTAAGAATTAATTTGTATGCAAAGGTCAGCAATAAGCAGGGTTGCTGGAAAGGGTTCAGGACATGGCTGTGATGATGAACATAAAGTAACAGCAGGAGAAAGGCTACACGAAGTGGCCCAAAAGGCATACAAGAACCTGAGAAAAACAAGGAGGCAATCATATTCTGAAAGCCACAGGAAATCAGTGCTGCCTTCATTCTGTCAAGCAGCCAAGTCCTAACTCCATGGGATTCACTAACAATAAAGGCATTACTGACTTCAGGAATAGTAATTTTGGTAAAAGAAAGGTGGTTCTGGAATGCATTTCTGTGGGAGGAAGAGTAAACGGGGGTAAGTACCACACACAGTGAAGGCAGGCAGCTTCTTCCAATTGGAGGGCTACAAAGATGCAGACAGAAGGACTAGAGTTTGAGGAAGGAAAGGGTGATTTTATGGCAGAAGAAACTTAAGTGTATCTGAGTTTGAAAGCATAATTCAACTAACTTCAGTTTCCTGAGTTAGTTAGAATAAAAAAAATATATGAAATACGTTTAGTAAATTCATTTTTAAAATGCACTGTCTCTTCCTTACTTTTCAAAAGCAGAATGCAAGAACATGACTTGAAAATTGGAGTAGAGCAAGAAAAATAATATGAACGCCAATCACAAATGAAGCTGAAATCATAATGAGCTAACAACTGCAGCATAGGAGGAAGGGAAGGCAAATGAAGAAAACTTCTAGTCACTAGGATCAGCAGGAAAGGCTAAGAATTAAGAGTCTAGGCTTAACTGTAAATACAGATTCTTTCTCTAACTTATTTAGGGTACTGTGACCTCAGAAGAGTCATCTGAATCTATCATTACTTCAGCCTATTATTCCAATGTTCCTTGCAGCATTATTTACAGTGGCCAAGGCATTGAAACAACCAAAGTGTCCTTTGATAGGTGACTGGATAAAGAAGATGTGGTATCTATACACAATGGAATACTACTCTGCCATAAGAAAAGATGAAATAGTGCCATTTGTGACAACATGGATGGATCTTGAGATTATTATGCTAAGAGAAATAAATCAGGCAGAAAAAGAACCATATGACCACTCAAACGTGGGATATAAAGCTGAAAGCAACAAAGGAACAAGACAGACAAATAAAGAAAAAAAAAGCTCATAGATTCAGACAACAGTTTAGTGGTTACCAGAGGGGAGGGGGGAAGGGCTGGTAGATGAGGGTAAAGGGGAACAAATATATGGTGATGGAAGGAGAACTGACTCTGGGTGGTGAACACATAATGTAATATATAGACGATGTATTATAGAATTGTACACTTGAAACCTATGTACTTTTGTTGACCACTGTCACCTCAATAAATTTGAATTAAGAAAAGAAAAAAAAGTGATACATATGTTCCCTACCGTTTTACTAAAAAATGTGTGAAGATTAATAGGTTATTTGTAAAGCACATTCTAAATAAAATGCGCTACATAAATGCCAAATATCTGCCCTGTTGAAAAGCGTTAGGAGGTGTGACACAAAATTGCATGTGGTTCAAAATAGGTTAATGGGAAAATAACCTAACTGAGGCCCTGTTCCAAAATACACGGAAGGCACTAAATGTGTTTGTGTTGGAGAACAATGACTTTATGAGGTGATTTTAGTGTCACAAATGGGTTTGGGGCTTGCAGTCCCACAACTTGGACAAGTGACTGTGCTCTTCGATGTTCTTAGCCGCGTACCCTCGGCAGTAGTCTTCAGCCTCTTTAAAAATCCGTCACCTCATATATAAAGGAGGAATAAAGCCAAGTAATTCACAGAGACACCGTGAGAGCTACTTGCGATGGTGTCCATGACGCTTTTCACTAGATAAAGGGCCATGCAAGTCACGATTCCTGATCAGAATCATCCAGGATTAAAATAGAGGAAAGGCTTTAAAGTACAAATTAATGATCAAGAAAAGTGGTACTAACGGGAATGAGGAACTTCTTGATTTCTTCCAAGGCATGCCCCATCCGGGCATAGGCTTCCGCGGGCGGGGCAAACACTTCAATGAGAACATGGAGGTCATCGTTGAGGTGGAAGTACTTTGCTTCTCCACTTTTCCTCAACTCTTCTTCCTGCAGGAAAAAAAAAGCCATGTTTAAGAGTGTTGTAAGAAAAGAAAAACGGCCCAGGGCTTATTTGGCATTTGGTTGTCACAGAAGATCCACTCAACAGCAAACACCACCTAAGGAAGAAAGCTTTAAATATAAATCTGATCCCTCCACTCCCAGGCCTTCATGAAAACTCAAAGGCTTCCTGCTGCCTCTGGCCTGGGGGTCCTGCCATCTTTCCTCCGCCCCTCACTCAGGCTCCCTTTCCTCCTTCGGGGTCTCCCTGCCTCAACCCCCCCAGCAGTGCTGCACAGACCCCTGGGTGTCTCAGACTGGCTGAGCCGCCAAGCTCCCTTCTGCGCTGGTGAGGCTGTGTGCCTGCGGCGCTGTTACAAAGCATTCACCACAGTCTGAACTATCTAAAGGACCTCGTGGGTTACTGGCCCATCTTCCATTTTGCCTCATTGAGTGATCCCCATGGAACACACGCCACGACCCTGTTGTCTGGTGCTGCGTTCTCCTTGCCTAATAAAGTGCTTGGTGCAGGGCAGATGCTCAACAGGCAATTACTGAATGAATGACTCAACATCATTCATTCACGTCTACGTTCGGTTTGGTGCTCGTACATCATTCGAAAAGCATTTCTACGTGCCAGGCACTACACTCTATCTGAGGGTAAAACGTGAATGGCACAAACGACAGATTTTACTCCGTGATTTTACATAATTATGACAAACATTTTTAACTTTTCTTGTTGTTGCTTATACCATGAAATTCAGGGAGAAATTAGGAGACGAAAAAACCCAGATATTTAAGGGACTACTGATTTTGCTCCATTATCTTTTCCTCACTAGGCTCCATTAGGATGGCAATTACAGACTCAGGGTCTTTGAACAGTCTTTGTTTCCAACATTAAAATCAGGCCAATTATGGTTAGTAGGGACCTTCATCTAAAGTGAGGTCCAAAAAGTGGGGAACCTTCCTCGCCTCTCCAAAAAAACCTACCCCATGAGAGAGAAGCCCAGGACTCCTACAACATCATCACCGTTTAATTCCAGCACTAGCCTAGAGGCCAGGGAGGCACAAACACCTTTGACTTCACCCTTTAAGGCTCCAACTTTTGTTACTTAACTAATTTGAGTTCTTACAAAGAAAGGAGGTATCAAGAAAAAAAGGGCCTGGGATTCAGAGTCAGGTTATGTTTGAATCTCATCTATGCTGGTCACTCGGTGTGTGAGTTTAGGCAGATTATATGTAATCAAACATTTCATTTGCAAAATCAGTTGGGTGTTATTAACGGGCCATTGAGAAGACTAAAGGACCAGCTTTATGTAAACGCCCAGCAAAACAGAGAGTGTATATGCCGCCCAGTATGCCACCTTACGCTTGGTAGGCACTCAAAGAATGCTAGTTTCCTTCAAATGTGTGGAAAGTAGGTCAGAAAGTGAGAGAAAACAAGAAAAATAATTGAAGACAGAACAAATATAAGCTACCATAAAATCCTATGCAGTTTCTTTGAAATTCGTCTTGAGTATAGAAAGTAGCATTCTTTTATGCCAACTGTAGACCATTGATTGTTCTCATCGGAACATTTTCAATCATTTGGTCTGATACGCTGCCTATTATAGCTGAAGCTTTATAAACTGGATTCTATGCACAGGAGTTCATCTTTTTTTCTTTTTTTTTGCAGTTCATCTTTGAAAGCATGAGCTACTGCAATAAACACTTATCTTTTTTTCTAATATGTACCCAAATAATAATTTTAATGAGATTATAGCTGTTGCTTCATAGTCAAGCATTTTCATGTCTATCACAAACTTTAGGACAGAACAGTAAGGCTTTCTTATCAAAACCATGGCTGTCACAGGATTTCCCAGAGGGGGCCGTTATTCCCAGGCCATTTCAGGGTGAATTAGGAGCGGCAGTGTGGTTTGTGGGGAGAGCACAAGCTCTAACGTCCTGCATTCAAATCCCAAATCTGACCCGGGCTGCATAACTTTGGGCAGGTTATCTTATCCCCACCTGCTCACAGGGCTGGCGTAGCAAGAAAGGAGCTACTGGAACAGTAATTAGGAGAGATTAGCGATAAAGGAATTGTAATGATAAAAACAGAAAAGGTCTCTAGATTTATGTCTAGCACATAATAAGCCCTCGGTAAATGATGAATACAGTAATAGTTGTCATAATAATGATAATTACTATTACACAACGAGGTAGTGATTGTTCGATTATTCTATAACATTGACGATGTGGGTAGAACACGCAGCATGACGTTTGGCACAAACTGGGGGGCTCAACAGACCACAGCACTATTGTGATTATTACGCCACGTAACCAGCTAGTACACGTCAGGCATGACGCCCATCATTTCATCAGTGTAGCAACTACAAGGAGAAAATGAATTATGTTCACATTAGAATTTAAATAGTGAACACCCTGAAGACCTAAAACGATGAGATTTTAATATAAACTAACAGAATCTCTTTAGAAATAAACATTTATTAACTGGGCATTTCTGTAGACAAAAATTAAACTAGTAAAAAGAATCAAGTGTTGTCAGGCGGTGAGGGTCTGATTATGGCAGAGCAGATGGGACTCCTGCATCCGCTGAAGGCCACCACTGGGGGCAGGATCTTGTCCACAGACAGTGGGCTCAGGGGACAGTAAACCCAGTGTACTCCATTCCCCCAGTTCCCGGCTGTCTTGATGGAATATAAACGATCCACCACTTGGAATCCCCACACCAATTCACTGATGTGGTCAAGGACGTAGAAATGAGACCAGGGGTGACCAGGCGGTAAGTGGTCTGGGAAAGAGGCCCACGTGTGTAAGGACAGCGCGCCCCAGGTAATTTGAAGCAGCCACTCAGGGACCAGGTAGCCAAGGGGATCAACAGTAGCACATGCAAAGCACCTTATTCCCCAGCCACCTCTGTGCTACTCAGGGGACTCATCAACAAAGTGCCATGGTGACATGGACAGAGGTTATGCGTGATTTCACAACAGACTCCTCTCAAACAGGATGACTGGCTACTGCCACTACTGAGTCTCCAAAGTGCCACTGCAGAGAACTAGCACCAGCCCTTGAAATGACGACGTGATCCGGAAGGACCAAGCACTGGTAGCAAGCTGACAATATTTAGGTTCCCTTTCTTTATAGGGATAGCCAGGCGCTTGCGGTTACTTGGACATGTCATCCAGGTCATGACTTGCTTTTATGGCTGCCCTGATCACTGGCACTGAATGCCACAAAACACTGCATACAACCAGCCAACTCCACTAACAACCAACAAAGTAGCACCATGTCCATGGGTTTCACCGGTCGTATCAGGTGCCTCGTTACCTGATGGCCTTATGGAAGACCTAAGATATGAGCAAGGGTGGGGGGCTCTCCTAGAAGACACAGACAATTTCCGACCAAGTGACCAATATAAGGTTTCATTTTCTCCGACTACCAGAACAGATGAGACAGAAAATCAAAGTGACGTCATTTGAGACAGCAATGCTTCATGAGTAGGTAACCTAACCTGGCCGTGAATTAGAACCACTTCAAACACCTAGTAAAAATTCATTTGAAGGCTCCATCCCAAATAGTTTGGGGCCTGGGGATTTCTTATTTTTAAACAGCTTCCCACGTGAGTCTGATACATAGCTATGTCTTAATCAAACAATATACAGAACCTCCCTGATTAACCCAGAAAATACACTCAAGGTCTCTGAATCTCAGTTTTTCTACATATAAAACTTTCCTTTAAAATTATGTTTATCTTCCATCATTTTTCCAAGGATAACATGGAGTAATGCGTGTAAAACATCTCACATGGTGCCTGTCTGTCACAGTGGCTATTCAATAAACAAATGGTGGCTACTTTTATTATGAAAGCTATTATTTAAATAGACTCTGTGTGTGTGTGTGTGTGTGTGTGTGTGTGTGTGTGCGCGCGCGATTTTGTCTAAACGACTTTGCTGTCTGACACAATCAGGGTTCATTTCATGGTACGCGAATGTAGATTTGGTTCCTGGTAATATAGATCTTTTAACAATAAAAGAACAGCAAGGTGATAACAGAGAACAACATAAGTGACAACACATTGTGAAACACACAAATTTCCTTCAGAATTGGTATATTTAAGAAAGTGATCAATAAAAATAACTCAGTAATTTCAGCTTATTAAAAGAAGCAGCAGGTAAAGTGAATACATCCAAGTAGGACAACTACTGTAAGCAATTATTAAAACATTTAAAATCAATTTTAACTTGATACAACACATAGGATATCAAATGAAGAGTAAAAAGGGCAAATAAAACAATATGCTTTATACGCTCAACTATGTGAAACACAGGCACAGGAAAAGACCTCAAGGAACCATTCTAAAATGCAGACGGTGATGGTGAGACTACAGATAGCTTTTATGTCTCTTCATGATAATTTCAATATCACTGAACTTTCTACAAGGTAACATATTGCTTCTAGAATAGGTGCTACTATTTTATTTTAGAAATGAATATAATAGTTACAGATGTAGGTTTAAGATGCTACCTATTCTGAAATTGGCTAGAGTGCCTCAATTTTCTAACAGTATCATAAATATATCACCTTATATAATTTGGGGTTCTAGTTAGCTTTAATAAAACATGCATTAATAAAATGGGTGATCTAAAAAGTACATCATGTAATGACTAAAAAGCAGCCACTGCCGACAATGTTACCTTTGCTTTGTCTCTCATGGAACCTTTTCCAAGGATGGACATTTTTGTCAAGGTTTCTTCTTGTAAACGCTTCAGAGAATTACCACGAGGACCCAAAAGTTTCCCCACAAAGTTGAACTAGGAAAAACAAACAAACAAACCAAATTTGTAACATTCATCTCTGAACGCCATTCCTTAACCTTGAATGTTAGGAAACACTGTAGTATATGACACATCATTGATTAATGACAAATATTTAAGTTCCTGCTACATGAACCACAAACCGTAATAAAAACAGGACTAAAAATTATAAAGTTAAAAAAATAATTGTTTATTTTTTTTTATACCAATTTCTTTATACCAATCACTTCAGTGATGGCTATATTTCAATTGTAAATGTAGTTAACTTCCCTGACAATTAATTTCCACACATTCAATACCAAGCACGAACAGTGCCAGGGTTGGAACGTAGGTGAGAAAAAGGACGCTTGGTGTCTGGTCGTCACAGTGTCTGGGTTCTTCCACGCGGTTCGACTTAAGCCTCAGCTAGTCAGCCGATGAGCACTGGCCTCCATGAGCTCTGACCCATTCAGGTGCTGACGAAAGCTTTCCAACAAAATCCATCTCTCTCTTCTAAATAGCTAGCTATGGGAACGTGGAGAGCTTATTCAGCTCACATGCTCAGGATTCTTGACTCAACAAGCAGAGTAGAAGTGAATGAATGAAGAGTATGAACTCTGAGGCTAGACTGCCACGGATTTAAAGCCTGGCTTTTCCACTGGTCGGCTGGTAGCCCTGGGCAAGTTACCCAAACTCTCCCTACTTTGGTATCCTCATCTAAACAATGGGGATGAGGCATGACCACAGGACCCACCTGTTCTGAGGATTACATGGGTCCATGTAATAAAGAATATAACAAATAAATATAATAAATAATAATAAATAAAGAATTTAGAACAATGCTTGGCACAAAATAGAAACCCAATAAATGTACCCTGAATGAGAGAATTATTATTAGAAATTTCACACCACTTTTAAAAGCCTTTACTATAATTAAGGTAGATCGAGAATACTTCTTGTTCTTAGATAGAAAGATAGCCTTGTTTATTACAGAAACTGTTCTCTGAGGTGAAATTCTTGATTACAAACTCATGAAGTTGCTGTTTTGACATCAGCTGTCTTTCATGATCTATGCCACAGAGGTGTTGTTGCTGTTTTTAAGAGAAAAATGTTCCTATTTGTCTAACTATAATAACTGAAGTAATTTTCCTGAAATACATACTTTAAAAAAAAATCAAAATATTTTTTTCCTTGCCCACTTTTAATTTTATTGGTCTTCAGCAAAACTCAAGTATCTATTTTCAACCTTCATATACAATTATTTCTTTTGCTTTTCAAAATTTAATTTTAATTACTTTTAAAAATATGAAAGTAATATTAATAGTTGAAAATACAAAATAACACTACAAGGTGGGGAAAAAACCATCAGTGTCTCGGCCCACCCACTCCTGCCTTATTCTTGTTCCCCATTTTCTCTGTTTCATCTTTTTAGAATTTCTGTTTGGATATCGGACCCCCTGAGTAGGGTCTCTAAGCTTCTCACTTATTCTTCTTCTCTTTTTCTTTCATCTTCTCTCTCTACTTTCTGGGAGATTTTAATTACATTAAGCCTCCATATCTATTGATTCTTTCATTTCTGCTATCAGCTGTTTAACTACTGATAGTATTTTCTTATATTTGTTCTTTTTTATGGCCTTCTAAAAATTTTTATGGGAGCAATATAAGTTCTTATCTCTCTGAGGGCACTTTCTAACGACAGTGGCCCTTTCCCACCATGTTTGGGAATTGGTCTCTTTCTACAGCACGGACATTCCTCAGGTGATTGGTAATCCCCTGCTACATGCTTTTAAAAATGTAAGATTGAGGCTCTAAAACGCTGACCGGAAGTTCTGCTTTCACACAGGGGCCTTAACAATCGGATCTGACAACTCGCTACAATACGGCAGCCCAGTGTTTTCATCAATACCCACTCAAGCCCCAGTATCTGTGTTTCTTTCCTCTTGAGCACAGAGGCATTTTCCTGAAGAGGAATTCCCAGCCTCCTAGGAGGAGGTGGACGGCTGGCTGCCAGAATTCCGAGAACCCAGCAGTAAGCACGCACACCTTCCTTTATAAATGAGGTAACTCCCTCATCTAGGTGGCATCGCACTCCAGCCCTCGGTGGTATCCATCTGGGTCTCAGAGCTGGAGGTTTCTCTGATTTGGCCTCTTCAGGACCCCGCTAGTCTGTTGTGAGGTTAAGAAAGGCAGATGCCTGGTTTTATCAGCTGGGAAGAGAATCCGGTGGACTAAGGACTTCCCGCACAACAGCCCTCTTCTCAGCTCTACGCCATACACCCGCCTTCCCAGTACTGGGTGTCCATGATCCCCGAGGCTCCCCAAGGTCTCCCCGCACTAACGATAATGGTCCTGGTTGACCTTCTCTGGTCCCCTACGGCATCGCCATTGATCCATTTATTTCACAGCTGCCAAAATTTTACTGACATCATACGCCTACTGTTATCTCTCACTCTCATTCTTACCATGTTTCCCCGAAAATAAGACTGGGTCTTATATTAAATATTGCTCCAACAATCTACATTTATTCATTTATTCACGTACAAAAATCTACATTTATTCAAACAGTCATATCTGGCTGACGATCTTAATTGGGGCTATGTTTGGGGTAGGGCTTATATTACGAACATCCTGAAAAATCATGCTAGGGCTTATTTTCCAGTTAGGTCTTATTTTCAGGGAAACACGGTTTCTTCACAGATCTGTGCCTTTTACATTCATTTTAGTGGGTTTCAAGGTTAGCACAAACATGAATGTACGTGGTCAAACAGCCACATTTACATAATGTCTTTAATAGTTACACATTCCCCTAATTAATAACTCTTAAGAGACCTTAGAAATTATCCAATCTAAACATCTTATTTTATTCTGAAGAAACTGAAGTCCACAGAGTGATATGATTTATTCAAGGTCACTTGATAAAACCTAAAAACGCAGGATTCTATACAAGAAGGAAAAACTTTTTATGTGATTTCATATGCCTTTAGTTTTCTTTCTCCATTTCACTTCTATCAGTATTTTTTCCACAAAAGCATATTAAGCATTTTGACAATCGGTAGCCCTGGTACCTGCTCTTGGTTCAGCCATGTGTCGTGTGTCAGTTGTATCTCCCCAGTCAGGTGAACCCTCATGAGTCTGGTCCTCACCTACCACACAGGGGTCCTACCACCTATTGTGGGTACCTGTCGCATGAATTGAATACAAAAATGTATACAAATCACCTACCAGAACAGCCCGTCGACTGCGCACACTCCAGGCCAAATTAGTAAATAATACGTCGATTGACTTAACTATTGTGGAGATAAATAATTTTATGAGAACAATACCCACTGTTCACTGAGAACTGACTCCCCTTCATCCATGAGGCTCCCAAGGGAGTCGCCACCACACAGAAACAACATAACCAAGCCCAGGCCACCAGGCTGGTCAGGGCGGGTGGACTTCGCTTGGAAGTCAGGAAAACCGGAGGTTTAGAACTGAGGGTGGGGACAACCCAATGCGCTCAGAGCTGACTCGGCAACGGCAGTGTGCTCAAGGGCTCAGGGCCTCCAGTGCAGACCGCCCTGCCTCCCTGGGGAGCATGTGGAAATACGGAGCATGTTTGGTGGTGACATGTTTATGGGTCCCTCCTGGCATTTAGTGGGCAAAGGCCTAGAATGTCACCCGTCACAAACGAGACCTCCTTTCACGGTGCAGAAGTGTCCTGTAAAACACCATGCGTGCACCTGTTAGGAAACCCTTGGGAAAGGCGGAGCCAGAGGCTGGTTACTCTATTTCAGCCCTTCCTCCCACCCTGTTTTCAAGCTCGGTTCTCCATGGATTGTACAGCGCCTAATGGCCGGTACTTGCAACAAGAAAAGGCCCTGAGAATATATTCTGGACTCTAGATGATATAGAAAATAAGCAGCTGAGGCAGCATAGTTCTCCGAGGTGCCACCAGTTCTAGGAGCCACCGATGGTCCACTCGCTGTGGACTTGCTGAGGGGTGTCTCAGGCGCCCCTCCTCGTGCCAGCAGCGTGTCCAGTCCTCAACATCACCATATTTACCACGGTGTGGTTTAGACGCGTCAGTCAGCACACTACAGGGTTATCATGAAGATTAAACAGATAAAGCCGAGCACCGTGGCAACGCTAAGCTGTACCCGAGCCTTCAGCTCTGCAAACATCATGATTAAGAAATCTTCATGGGATGTGGAGTAGAGTGTGGGAATGGAGTCAATGGAATTGTAATAGATAAGCATGATATCGGGGGTGGGGGGCAGTGGATGGGCGAGGGGGTTGTCACTTTGCAAGGGGTGAAAAGGAAAACTATTGCATTGTTGGTCCCCACTATCCATCAGAAGGCGCCCCTTAACCTAACCTGATCAAACTTGAGTTAAGTTTCTCCTGCCTCAGTGACTCACCTGCAACCTGGGCCAGCAACTCTTCAGAAAGGCCCCCATTTCCAGGGACCAGCTTCGGGTAAAGGATTCGCGATCCACTGTCCCATCATGCCCCCTGCACCCAATTCCTCCCTCTTCCCCACACCTTTGTAGCCTTGTCCACGTTTCCCCATAAAAGAAACGACCTCTGGCCGTGGTGACAGCTCACGCTCAGAGCCATCCTCCTGTCACAAGAGCCCCTCTCTCTGGCTGCCCAGAACCCTTTCAAAGGGAGTCTCTGCTGACTTAAGTCAGGATTTGGTTTTCATTTGATAACTGTGTTTGCAAGATAGCTGGTAAGAACTTAATACATTTTAACTTTCGTTTTTATTCATCATTTCACTTGTGTATAGATTTGCATAGAAGGTGGAAGTGTTATTTGTAAGACTAACGATTTTTCTCCAGATGCCAATTACCATATTACAAATATATTATATTACAAATGTTACAATTGTAAGTAGAAAACTTCCAAATGATTATGAAGACAGTAAAGTGACATAAAATAAGTATATCTGAGTTTCACTGCAATAATTACGTTCTTTGTTGGTAAGGACCAAGTGCCTTCTGAACTAGCTGTACATAATTGATCTAAACTATATT